ATGCTATTACAAGAGTCGTCCCAATTAATGATAAATATACTTCCAATCCTTCACTAGATTTGGGGATATCTGATGATACTGGGCCCTGCCTTCTTATTTACAGCTTTAGTGCCCTGATGTGCTCTAAGCATGTAACAAGTATTTAATCAATGCTTATTAAACATACCTTTCATATGTAAACATACAATTAACTATATGATTAATGTTTATTAATCATATAGTTAATTGTGTTTAAGAAAATGGCCTATCAAATAACCACAATAACCCAGAAGAATTTTTGTGTTATAAAGTATCACACAAATTTTGTTTGATAATTTTCATTGTTTTAAATTAGCATCTCCTGTAATAAAAGAAACTCATAAATGCTTTGAAAAGAAAGTCAAGGAAACGTTCTAACATTTACTTGACACCTACTAGAGGCTCACACTATGCCAAGAATATGTGTCATGGTTAATTATGTGTCAACTTGGCTAAGGTGCTGTGTCCAGTTGTTTGGTAAAACACCAGACTAGATGTTGCTGCTAAGTGATTTTTAGATGTAATTAACATTTAAATCAGTGCATTAATAAAGTGGATTAACCTCCTGCCTTAATAATGTGAGTGGGCCTCACCCAGTCAGTTGAGGGCCTTAAGAGAAAAGAAAGAGGTCCTTGGACAAGGAGGAAATTCTGCCTCCAGGCTGCCTTGAAACTCAAGACTGCAGCATCAAAAATATCAACTCTTGTTAGAATTTCTAGCCTTTCAGCCTCTTCTGCAAGTTTCAGACTTACCAGACTCCACAATCCTGCGAGCCATTTCTTTAGAACAAATCAATCCCCTCTCCTCATTCCTCTTAGTTAGATAACACAATATGACATCATTCACACATCACAATCAGCTTTTGAGGCCAGTATTATTCCCGTTTTTGCACAAAGTTATTGAGACTCTGAAAGCTTATGTATCTTACATGGTGGCTGTAGCAGGCAGTAATACTGTTCACCAATTATCTCTCTCTCCTAGGGCGAGCAACTGTTCTGATTTGCCTAAAACTGTGGTTAGAGAAGACAGAATGTAGGAATCACAAACTCAGACTAGGGACTGAGAACTTACAGCTCCTTCTCTAAGCGTTTAGGGAATAGTTGCAAGACAGAGACCCTCTTTGGATGGAAAAGAACTTTCCATAGATGCCATTGTACTCAGAAGAACATTGATCAAGGAATCATTGGTTAAAACCTTGAATAATTATTTTCTCTCTCAAAGCTTCAAGTCACCTATCTGTGAAGTAAAGGCGTGTACCACATACGTACTCCAATTGCTCTCAGCCCTGACAGCTTATGGTTGGGAAAACTCTCCTCAGTATCATCACAGATACATTTCCTAGGTTTTCTTGATCACCAGAAAGCAAAAAAGAAAGTCTAAGATAAATTAAAAATTCAGATACAATAAAGAATACACTAACAAGTTTTTTAGGGCTTTTTAATCGGCAGAATGCATTATGGTAAATGTGAATGGCTTTGTAGAGTTCCTCGTTTCCTGCTTATCTCATTAACAATATTTGTATCTTAAATGACTTGACTTTTAGTTTGTGGTCAAGAATATATAAGGATAGTTAAATAGTTATAGACAGTATGTGTTCTTTACTGCAACTGAGCCGGACTTGATGGGAGATAAGATGAGGACAACCCAACTCTAGCCAGCTCTTTCCCTGTGGACTTCTCACCTGACCGTCACGGTGTACACAGCTCAACTGCTCATGACCCTCTTGGCTTTGTCTGACAGCCACCACTTAATTGCAAGTGTCCCTCAGCATCCTCTTTCTGTCAGGACCAAGGCAGATTTGAATTTCTTCTGTTGTAAAGTGTGTGCATTTTAACAACTTTTTAATTGAACGATTCTCTAAAAGTGCATTAGGAGTTTTTGTATCATATGCTTTTATGTTCAGACACAAAAATTTATTTATGTTAAATTTCTAGATGATGTCAGAATTGCAAGAGCTGTTCATGGATGAGTCAACAGATTGAGAGAGCTGAACGAATTTATCTAAAGCCAAATAAACTATTTACTTGCTAACATTTGACGTGTGCAGAGCTCTTCTATGATGGGGCTGAGCATGGAAGAGAGATGCAGCATGTTCTCTAACATCTGTGAGGCTGGTGCTGGATCTCAACCATGAATTGCTTCTTTAGGTTAGGGAAGAGAAATCAAATTCTGCCTGAAATATGTGGTAAAGGTGTCAAAAAAGAAATTTGGAGGATGAAAAATAATTCTCTATTGCAAACAGAGAGGGAGCACACTCCAGCGAAGGCCTACGAGTAGAAAGAACATAGTGTTCTTAGGAGGCAGGGAGTTTCTAGTGAAGTTGAGGACCTTGACAGCACATTATAATAACCTGGGGAACTATGAAAAGTGTGGATGCTGAAGGCCATCCCCAGACCTTCTGCCTTTATTGAAAGTAGGTAGAAATTCAAATTGCCTTACACTTTTCAATAGTATTGAGTACCTCAATTCCTTACAAAATGGAGAAGAATAAGTACCCCCAAAAGTCCCATACACGAAGAAGATCTTGGAGGCCTTCTTATCCACTCCTGCGATTTTTACAAAGAAGATGAGAACTAAATAGAATTTATTTACCCATAAACATGTTGAAAATTTCAACTGAGGCTGGCATAGTCTCAAAAACATTTTTATACTCTCTTCTTACAGGATTGATTGGACAAAGTTGGGTCCCATTAATATGTGCTGATTGGCAATATTTATTTTAAAGAATAAGCATATGCAATCTGGTAACTACCCATTCTTAGCCAGTATCTGTGTTGACTAAAGTTGGTTTGGTCAATTCAACCAGGCTTCCTTTGGAAGAAGCTGTCCTAACTGTGTATTAGTCAGCTCTGGCTGCCATAACAAAATACTACAGACAGGGTAGCTTCAATAATATAACTCGATTTTCTCATAGTTGTGGTGATTGCAAGTGCAAGATCAAGGTGCCAGCAGGGTTGTTTTCAGTTTCTGGTGAGGATTCTTCTGAGCTGTCAGACTGTTGCCTTCTTGCTATGCTCTCATGTGGCTTTTCCTTGGCACAGAACTCTCTGGTGTCCCTTCTAAATAGGTATGCTAATCCTATTGGATAAGAGCCCCACCCTTATGACCTCATTTCATGTTAATTACTTTTATTTTTCTTTTGAGATGGGGTCTCACCCTGTCATCCAGGCTGGAGGGCAGTGATGGAATCTTGGCTCACTGCAACTTCTGCCTCCCAGGCTCAAGCAATCCTTCCACCTCAGTCATGTGAGTAGCTGGGACTACAGGTGCATGCCATCACACCAGGCTAATAATTTGTACTTTTGGTAGAGATGGGGTTTTGCCACATTGCCCCACCTATAAGCACTCCTTTAGAAGGTCCGCCCCAAATACAGCCACTCTAGGGGTTAGGGCTTCAATCTATGCATTCTGGGGTGATGTAAACATTAAATCTAGCCAACAAACCATATAAAATATTCATCAAGCTTGTGTTTTTCATTCTGTACACATGCAAATATTTAAGTACAGGATTTTTAAAGGGGTGAGGGTTGACTCTGTTTATTTTATTGAGTTTGATTTTCTTTTTATATATAAATGCCTTACACTTAGTAGATTAGGATACATTTTGCCTGAAATCACCTTGAATGTTTTGCTCTTGCATGACTGGCAGGTTGTAAGATATGAACTAGGCTCTATGCACAGATCCATCTGGCTTTTCTTGCCTATCTGATGTAAAGTTTTAAAATAAGACTTGAATTATAAAATATCCTAAGTATTCAATACCAGACTGTTTAAATAATTAAAGATTCATAGCTGGCAACAAAAAATAGAGCATTTGGACTTTGGACTAGACAAAACAGATTTTAAATCCTGGCCCCCTTCCACACTCTGAAAGAATGTGGAAGTTGCAAAAGTCCTGTCTGAACATCAATTTCCTCTTACATGCACATTGAGTAATATTAACTTCATGAGTACTGTGAGGATAAACTATATTCATTCAATCCCTAACCACTATCAATATTTATACTATTTAACAACTAGTAAGAGATGGGTATTGCCCAAGCATAATAGATGGTGCCCAATGGAAAACAAAAACAAAAATAAAAAACAATAAACAAACAAAAGCTATAGATAAACTTCAGCCAAATGGTGAATTTAGTTCAATCATTGGCCTGAATGAACATAGGTATAGGTGCAGGAAATGCAGAAAGTAATAGAACAAGATCCATACCTTGAGAGATTCAACGTACACTGAGGGAACGTCAGACACATAACAGAATAAATGCAATATAGTGCCATAGATAATATGATAATGCTGTGGTCTAGATATTTGTCTCCCATGACAACAAATACAGATGTGGAATCCTAATACTCAAGGTGAAGTAGATGAGGACTTTGGAAGGTGACTAGATCATGAGGGTAGAACCCTCATAAATGGAGTTAGTGCCTTCATAAATGGAGCCCTAGAGAGCTGTCTTGCTCCTTCCACCGTGTGAGGACACTGTGAGAAGCTGCCATCTATGAACCAGGGACAGCCCTCACCAGACACCACATCTGCCAGCACCTTGATCTTGGACCTCCAGCCTCCAGAACTATGAGAACGAAATTTCTGTTGTTTATGAGCCACTCCTTTGTTTAGTTGTAGCAGCCTGAATGGACTAAGACAGATGGACAGTATGTGATGAGCGAAAGTGACTAGTATTAGCCTGGCATATAACAGGCTGCCTTCTCTTCATGTTTGCCTGAATAGGGAAGCCACTTTTGCATCATCACGAGATTAAGCACTATTTTATCTAACATAAGTGGGAGGGAGAGAGAAAAATCAGAAGATAGAAACCACTCATATTATGAATAAAATAAAACCAATTTTAAAAATCCAGCTCTTTCTAGTCTTTATCTTGTACTGCAGTGCATTGCTTTAGCATGCTACCCTCCAGGCACGTATAATTTGTCACTGTTACCCAAACACATAAGTAATCTCAATAATATAAAAATAATATTACCTTTTATATCCAGTGAACCAAGCATTGCACTACCCATTTTATGTATGTCATCTCATTTAATCCTCTTTGAACCTGCTAAGAAGACAATATTATATCTACTTGTTCAGTGTTGACACTGAAGGTCAGAGGGGTGGAGTGAATGCTCCACCAGGTTGGTCTATACAGGATGGCAACTCAGAACCAAATCCACGTGTTCATTCAGTGCTTGGATTTGGTTCCAAGTTACCATCCCGGATAGACCCAGTGGCTTCCTAGAGGCTGCAGGGCAGCCCAATTCGTTGCTTGTTTCTCATCTTATGTGGACTCATTGAAACAAAAGACAACTTTTACCTAAAATAGGGCAGTATCATAAGACAGTGCAGGTAAAAAGAAACAATGTCATATTATGACAATATTTAAGGAAATAAAAATTAAATATTTTACAGCACCAGAAATATGATTACTGAATAAATCTTTTCATTATGTTGATATGTAAGGGCATAGAGAGAGGAGAGAGAGAGAAAGAGAGGAGACACTTGTTGAACAAAGGGAGATTTTGGTGTTATCCTTGTATGTATAGTGATGTGTACTCTGTACTACTGAAAAAAGTGATGTGAAAGTGATGTGAAATGCTACCAGCTTGGATTCCTTGGGCACAAATATATGCTTTTAAGTAGAAATGTTACTAACGGAAAAAAGAAAGCATTCTTTATGACTGCAGGCTTACCCACCAAAATGAGTCTAGAGGTTCTTTATTTTATAGTCTGACACAGAAATCCTACATGTTGCCTCCCAAGCAGCAAAACAAGAGTGTTGTCTCTTAAAGACTGGCCAAAGAAGGGATGCTCATCAGTCCAGGCCCCGCTGCAGTGGTTAACAAAGGGCCGTGGGGCTCAGTCTCTGAATTCATTTCTCTGTAGCTGATGGTAATTTTTGTTTTTCAACCCATGACTTGGGTTGACCTGAACCTGCTTTTGTCTGGTGCAATCACAGATTTCCAGCCCTCTAGTTTCACCATCAAGTATCCAGGATGCCTCGGTTTTTGTGGCAAGTAGCATGCTGTGACCTACTGTGCTCTTGATGCTATGACTTCTGGCCTCTGGGACATTTGGGGGGTTATGTGATTAAATTATACCAGAGAATTTCTTTGTTCCTTCTGCCTATTCCTTGCTCCTGTCTGGTCTGGACAGCTTGGTGGTTACTATTTATTAACTTTTGCAATGTAATTATATTGCATTTCAGGGTCCACATCATAGGCCAACTATTAATTCTAATATTGAAAGTCAAACCGAAGTTCAGGGGCCAAGCCGAAGTCAATTGCTATGTGCCAGGACAGAAGACATCAAAAGCCAAGCTGACCTAGAGTTGGCATGGCAAACAACAACTAGAGGAAATCAGAACTGGAAAAACTGTAGGGGAGAATCGAACCAATGTCCAACTTGGCTAAAGATGTAGTCTTGCCATCCGAGATTTACGGCAAAGGGCAAGAGTCATGTTTCTCAGTTCATGCTATGGGCTTTGTCAAACCTGCTGCCTGTTAGCTGGTAGCAAGAAGGAAATCACCACAACCATGAGCTCCTACGTCTAGCTGATGCTTCCCTTCACTGAAATGATAAAATGATGGTGGTACTCTGGATTTTGCTCAGAGTGCATACTACTCATATTAAAATAGGGATTCGCTGATAATGGAGATTCACTAACAATCATGAGCACTTACATTCATACACGTTATTTCCTACAATGCCCACTCTTAAAAGCAATATGAAGCTGCTTATAGTAAACACTGTAGCTACAATACATTTATTAAAATGAGATGAAAGTGCACACTAGCAAGTAATGGAATAGCAATAGACAGAGGCCAATGAAATGTGAGTTTCAAGCCTGAGGTTTCTGGAGGCCCCTGCAGAAAAAATGAAAGGCATAACTGTCAAATGAAATTTATCATTATGACCTGCAAAAGAAATCACTTGGATGGGAAAACCACTACATGCCAGAAACTGATTACTTTATGCAATCATCTCATCAGTGCCATATTTTAAAAGGGAGGAAGACAGACAATTTATCTCAAGACAGCAGCAGTGGAAGAAAAACTAGATTTGAGGGAAAAGCATCCACAGTCTCATGTCTATCTGCTTTACCCTAAACAGAGGCTGCTTCTCCATGGGGATATAATCAGGCCCTGACAGAAAGATCAGCCTACAAAGATTAATTCAGTTATCCTAATTTGTTTTAATCTTGTTGATTTTCAAAAGTCCACTTGTTAATTTACTTAACATATTCATTTAGTTTCTGTCATGTGTGCATGGAATACATAGATGATGAGACAGCTTTGCCCTCTGACCTCAAGGAACTTACTAGTAGAGAGAAACACATAATGAATATATTATCAGAGCAGGTGCCCAGTGTATGCTTTTTCTGATGATGATAAAGATGTTGAAGAAAAAGATGATGATGATGGTGACAGTGATGGTGAGGATGATGTCACAGGGAGGCAAAAAAGAAGGAAAGGAAGAGGGAAAGAAGAGGAGACGGAAGAGAAAACAGGGAGGATACACGGAGAAGGACAAGGAAAAAATCTAGTTGTTTTTAGACATTAGTCTAGGCAAATGCTACGTCTCTGCACATCTCCTTAGTCCTGGAGCCATGCCCCCATCTTCTTAAGTTCTTTTTTATTTTTGGCTCCAGCAACCAAGATTCAGGCTCAAGCTCAATGTCCATTTCAGCATAGTTCACTAAGTTACTTCACGTGAGACATGATTAAGTGCATTGTTCCTTTGCTTCTTAGTCTTTACAAAAAGCCATCAGAAATACTCCTCCATGCATTGGTCATGATAGAGACAATGCTATGGCTGAAACAGACCCTGGAACAGCTGAAGATGAGTTTCAGATGAGGATGAGCTGCCACCACCTTCCCTTCTCAGAGCCACTGCTGAGCAATGGAGCATCTGTCCCTTGTGGGAGGTGTTGGAGGGCAGGAGCAAGTGAGCAAACATGACTCTTACAAAAAAAGAGTCAATTTCTTCCAGCATCCATGTGGCTGCATTAGTAAAGGAAATGGATAACCAAGATTCATCTGCCACTTGAGAAAGTACATGCAGAATGGTCAATATACTTGTTTGCTTTAATATGGGTTCGATGCTATGTGGAAAATGTAAACCTCCTGAAGCTCCAAATAAGACAGCTAATATTCTACCTGCTGTGAATTTCAAGCATTACATCCTAGCAATCTCTTTTGGAAAGAGCCCAGAGCAAGTTGAAAGCAGTAAGTTCTTAGAATCCAGCACTAGTCTGTAGAGGTGGAGTGTCTCCTTCCCCATAGCAGCCAGGATATTCTGATGTGATGTCATCCTCCTGACCCTACTACAGGCTACCACTTGCACTGGGGAAAAATGGTTCTCAACTGCATCTTGAATTGACAGAGCAACCTCCTGATCTTTGGCCCGCTCCCCACTGGCAGTGTAAGCTTCTCTGTATTACTTGAGTTTTCTGAACATAAGATGAGCCCAAAATTAGTTGTAGCAGTGGTGCTGGAAGAAATAAAGAAGTGGAAAGAAAAGTAATAATAACATCCAATTAATGCATATCACTTGGCTTACTGCCTGGCATTAGCAGTAATCATTACCCCTGCACTTAAAAATAGATATTTTTCTCTTCATTTTCAGATGAAGAGAGACTGAGACTCAGATAGCAGTTGCCCAAAGCCGCAGAGTTGGTGAGTGGCATGGCCAGGACTTGAACCCTAGCAAAAATCATTTTTGGCTGCCTCAGTCTTCATTATGTAATGCTGACTACCTATGGGGTTCCCCCCATGACTGGTTGGATGCAAGGGAGAGCAGGAAGCCTGGGGTACCTCTCAGAGTTCTGATGTTGGTGGGCAATTCTCTGGGAAGATGGAAGGGAGAAATACCAAGTCCACATGGCAGCCACGGTATGTCTGGGTGTCAGAGGACAACCATGCCCTTGTCCTTCTATGTATTGCTGTAGCTCACTGCCCCTTCCAGCGGCATTCTGTAAATGCAAACTAGGTTTTTTGGCTTCACTCACCTTTCTCCCAGTCTTTTCTCAACTGAGCACAACCTGATGTGTTCTCTCACTTCACAAGTGATAGTATGTACTCTCAATCTCCCTAATTATTCAAACACCACTTCCGTTTTTGTTGTATGAGCCACACTTTCCTGTTCTCTTTCTATCTCTGATTGCCCTGAGACATAATTGCCTGCAGCTTGCCATCTGGCTGCTTTGATCACATCTCTGGTCTTTGCTATAAGTCTTCTCCTCTCCTTTCCTCTCTTCTGTTCTTTTCCCCACTGTTATGTCTCCCCACATGCTCTTATTAAGCAATCTTACATACTTCTTTGCAGTCAATTATCACTATGAACTGCTATCAGTGCCTCCCCAATATCTGTCATGAAGTAAGCGGTCAACATCATTTAAAAATTTTTACTAATAATACATAAGTAAATTATCAATAGGTAAACTGATGTAAGTGTCTAACAACTGGAAAGGGGCGTTGATTTAGAAACGTGTACCTCAGATTTGTCTTATTGAGATGATGCTTAAAGCTGAAGACCTGGCTGAAATTATCCAGGGAATATGTGTCAGGAAAACAAAGTCCTAAGGAATACTAACAGTTATAGGAAGAAGAGAGAATGGGGGTCTCTGGGAGAAATCACATTTACCGAGACAGTAAGAGTGAAGTGCTGAGGACATGCAATGTTAGAAGCCAATGGAAGTAAGAGTTTGGTGGTAGAGGGGTGGTTGACAGGCTCTGAAGGCCCAGGAAGGGCACAGAAACATGCCCTTTCGAGGTGGCAGTGGGAAGGTCGCTGCTGCCTCAGGGTGGGGACTTTTAGGGTCACTCTTTTCCTGTCGGGCCAGGTGCTTTATGCTTCTGAGTCTTGGCACATTCCATTCTCCTACATCGAAATTGCTATTTCGTTCTCCATTTCTGTTTCTGACAAGCTTATATTCATCCTTCAATGCTTGCTTATTTAGCCAACAAATATTTATTAAATGTTTACCATGTGAGAGGCATTGCTTTGAAATCCCTCAAATGTCATTTCCTTCATGAGAAATTCCTTCACCAATCCCCCACACAGATGTAAAG